CTATTTAAACGGCCAATCTCCGAGCATTTTCCCAAATCGTGACATGAGTTGAAGTCGCTGCTGCAACATTCAGCTGAGACATCACCTCCGCATGTCCAAGGTCACTGCTGAGATCATCTGGACATGTCGAGTCCATGCAGGAATTGTGCCTCTTGCTTCTTCGAGCCAAAGCAGATCCAAACTGCTGCGACTCAATCACGGGCGAGTCGCCTTTGATGGAAGCTGCGTGTTTGGGGAGCAGGCGGGCATTGAGACTCGCTTTGATTTTCCATACAAGTACACACGCAGATCTTGGGTCCCTGAGGAGGTTGTGCATGCACTTGCTTCAAGCAAGGGCAGACACGGAACAATGAAGCCTGGCCGCACTGTCTTCCATTTGAACTGCCTTGCCTTGAAGCGCGGCGCGAACCTTTTGTTTCAGCCAGTGAGGTTGGGCTCCAATTAAGAAAAGACAAGCTTGAAAACTTGAAATAGAATTTCATGTGACAATGCCACAGAACGGCGACAAGTCGTTAGATTCATCTGCTGCCAGTCATTTCCTTCGGATGCCGGCTGCCTCTGAGGCAATTCCAATGGACAGCATGCCAGGGATGTGGCCATGACAGCCGGACACAGTCACTTATTGCACTTGCTGGCGAGAGGCTGGACAAGCTTTGCTGACTGACCTGAATGAAGCTTGCGTGGGCACCTCACAAGGGAAATTATGGGTGCAAACTTTCCTTTGACACTTGCCATCGTGCAGGGTCCGCTTTTGTAAAAGGGACACCGTCAGTAAGTAGTAGCTGGTCATTCAGTCCAAGCATGATGGGTTGCATCCACTGTCCACCAAAACTTTGTTCAGATTTCAGATTTTAGGGTGAAGCAGTCCGCTGCCCGGACAGAGGCATTGGACGCAGTATTTTTCTGCTTAGTTTGGGTCAACAACTGCCTCTTGAACAAGCCCAATGCAGCTGCTGGCCAGGCAAAGCTGCAGCATCCGCAAGTGACATTGCAGCGGCCGAGCGAGATGCCAAGCAGCAACACGATGAACCTGCCACCAAGTCAGAGGACTGGGACATGACTTTGGCTAATCTACGAGAAGTCAGCCAGTGTGCCTTGCCGTTTGGTGATCAGGGTGGGTGCTTCGGCGCATATAGCACATTCCATAGTTCCCAGCAATGGTAAGCTATTGCATGCTGCTGCAGTGTTTGACCCTTTGCACAGGACGTGGCATCAGAACCGCAGACCACGTCTGAAAGCAGTGCAGCCACACAACAACCTCGAGGACTTGCTGAGCAGCGCATGCTCTGTGCTTTTATCCCGCGGGCTCGATATTGTCGGACAGGTATCACATAACTAAATCAACACTCCTAGAAGGGAAGCTAGTGGAACCTGTCACGCAGCCAGAAGAAAGAAGGGAAAGAGCGAACTAAGGCACAGCTTCTTAACGCCTCCAAATGCTTGAAATTCAGTTTCAAACAAAATTTGAAGAATTCCGAAAGCTGAATTTTGTAGGGTCAGCCACAGGAAAATACAACAGATGCAGCATATGCGCCAACCTCTGAAGAGCTCCAAATGGCTCAACGCTACTCACAGCCTCCTGAATCCACAGTGCTTCTCATCGTGGATGCGCCTCTGAGTTTGTTGCGAGAATTTAGGAAACGCTGGTGGCGCTTAACTTGTGCACTCTTCTAGTTGAAGAACAACCCTGTTTGCTAGGGTGGTGCACCTGCAGAGGTGATTTGTTAGAAGACACGTGCAGGATGTTTACGCGAGTTGACGAATCCCAGCGTTAAGTGAAAAGAAGGATCATGCGCTAAAATTTGTTGCTTGGTTAGAGGGAGCCAGGACGTGAGTGGGGCTGATGTCTCAGCAGCGCACAGGCTAGGCAGATGTCCACATGCCATCGTGTCCAGCACGCTGCACGCGATGTTTCTGCGTCTGCTTGCTGGCCAAGAGAGGTAGAAGCAAGTTAACCCCCTCAAACCACCAGTCACAGATTCGACGAAACCAGAGTCAAACACTATGTCACAGTTCACCACAACCACATTCCAACATTCAGGGAGAGGGAGAGAGAGAAAGAGACAAAAGCGAGAGACTCATAGTGCGGATAGGTAGCATGTGGATTGAGAAGTTGTGCTTGACGTGTTTCATGGATCGCCTCGTGTGAATCCATCCTCGCGCGAATGGCGTCCGCTAGTTCATTGCAGTATCTCGCAAACTGGGTCGTTTCTGGAGCCAATGCTGTAAATGGCTGCAAGTGGGTGAGGCTGCACCACGCCACCTTGCGCTTTTTAAACTCACTATTGAAGAGGGACCTCACTTCATACACGACCCATATGACTTTCTGATGAATCTTCAGCTGCCGACATGTTCTTCAGTGGTTTGCAAATTGGGGGAGGACGCACATACCTGAATCCCCCGCATTTTTGTTCATGTTTGAACACTGGCCCGCTGTTGTTCAAGAGTGGGCTGTCACTATTTGGTGGCAGCCCCCCAACCCCCGTGCTGTTGTCAAATAGTGGCCCCTTCCAACATGACTCCCTCCGATTTCTGACATCCTTCCAATGCTGCCGCTCTGGCTTGGAAAAGCAGTGGTGCAGTGTCATGGTCATGTTCGATTTGAATCCTGACTGCCAGTTTCCTGTCAAATGCTTTAATGCAAGCTCAATGCAAACCCAGGACCCGTGCGTTACTTTGTTTTGATCCCATCGCCCTGTCAATTGCGCATTTACCCTTAGCTGAGCCCAAAAATCAGTGCTGTGATTTGCTGGGCCTTACTTTGACTGTTTTGCTCCTCAAGATTTTCATTGGTTGATCCTTGAACTCCCACCCACCCTTGTCTTGGAGCACTGCATTCCACCACTTTTCCAAAATCCTGGCTTTGAATTGATTCCAGGGCGGCCTCGGGGGCGTGGAGGCTTATCCAACGCTATGCAAAAGCGCTGCCACTCGGAGCCAGTAAGCCCATCAAGTCTGCTCGAGTCCGGACTTCGGGAGGCTGAGGCAACACAACAAACGAATCAAACGAACGCCCTGTTAAACAAACTAAGCAAATGCTCTGTGAGGTGATGAGAAGGGTGTGCCGCTGGAAGTCTTGGGTTTGCTGGCGGCCAGCGAGCTGTTGAGAGAGATGGATCGATGGCTCCCAAGCTGCACATTCCATGGCTAAGGCAGACATACAGCTGCAAAAAATGTGACGTTTGAAGCTTTGCTGCCTCACTCTGAGGCATTCCCTGACTGAAGCGGAGCTTGCGTCAGAGTGGGAATTGCATGGAAGTGAAACTGAAGGGGAGAGCATCGATGGCTGCACTTATCACGCAAGGTCTGTCATAATATTCTGCCACTTTGACCAGATTCTCGTTCGGTTCCAGAACTATTCGTAAAGACATTCCTACTGTAGCCGTTTGCATGGCCGTTGGTCTTCTCAAAGATTCTAAGTTGCTTGGTTCCTATTGCGTGAGGCACGTTGTCTCGGGACGAGCTGGAAGCACGATTGAAGCAGCTGCGACTCTGGCAACTGCTCCCCTTGGAGGTGCCTTCTCGCATGGGGGCCCTGCATTTGCCCATCTTTAATGCTCTGCAAGAAAAAGGAAACCAAGTTCCCAATATGTAGGCAGCCTTTTTTGAACATTTGGACTGCAACATGGTAACCCCGGCAGACAGTCATCAAGAAGGGCGCAGGAACTGCATCTTCCACAAGGGCACCCCGAATCTACCTCATAAGCCACGAAATCTCTGAAGACAGAGCAAGCACGACTCACAGAATCCTAAGCTCGTAGAATGAACAACAAGCGCATAGAAGCTCTGCTTCAGAAAAGGGAAGCAAATGAGCTACTGTCAATAGTTCATGACATAGTCCCGAATAAGAAACTCATGTCCACTTCTCAAATGGACCTCTCAGGCCCTTACAGGTTCTTGGTAGCGAATAAAGGAAAATCATTCCCGAATACTCCCTATATAACATATTCTCCTACTCCCTACTAACCTGGAGGCTCTTCAGGATTCCTGCCGCCGGGAAGCCGGTCACGTGGTGGCCGCTGAGGGCTCCCAGGGGCCCCTGTCCCGGGAGGAACTTGTTGAGGCCCAGCTTGGGCGTCATGATCTCATGGCGCTTCAAAGAGCTTCATTCTTCGGGCCGATATTCCTGAACGAAGGCCTTGTTGAGCTCAAGGTGGTTACAAATGTTTGCTCCAGAACCTGCCCGCCCACCCTTTAGAATGTGTTCAAAGGCGTAACGGGGTTGGTGGACATTGCTTCAGCGGCTGTTGTCATTGAGTCAGCCATAATGATTTGATGCTTCTACGATTCCGGGCATGCGCGTTTACAGCTCAGAGGTGGAGGGGTGATGAGGAAGGTCTGAAGGTTTTTCGTTGCCCCGAGGTCATGTCACATGGGTTCATAGATGGAGGTTCAGCTCTGAAAATTGGCACCAAGTCATCTATCAGCTAACCAATCCTGGAACAGACACCACCGTCCGTTTAGCAGCAATTTGTGTGTCTGCCTTGTTGGCAGATGTTGGCAGAAGATGCAATAAGATGCGGTACACACGCTTCCCATCCTAGCTCGCTGTTAGTAGGGCAAAAAAGAATATCATCCCTATATAATGAACTTCCATATTCCCTACTAATACCTAGCGAGCATCAGGCACTGACAGTCGCCACATGGGGCGGGCTCACCAAGACCCAGCGGACCAGCAAGCTCTGTGCAGAGAAGGGCATACCGGACAAGAAGCTGCTTTTCTGCATTTTGCAGAGATGCAACTAAGATGTGTGCTCAAGTCTGGGTTGCTGTTAAGGAACTTAAGCTAAGTCACTGTGACAAAAGGAAACCCTATTGCGTACTATATATATATATTTCCATGCTAAGTTCCTTAGCAGCAACCCATCTAAGTCTGATCAGGTTTAGCAACACACACAAGCTGGCAACACACTTGATGCCTTCTTTGCATGTTCGAACCTTCGATGAGAACCTCCTCTTTGCACAGCTGTTGAATGTACTAGCCGAGGCTGGAGAACCGCATGCGCGCCGAGCATGTTCTTCAAGAGTTTGAAAGGTTGGAGGCTTTGCGCGAGGCAGACCTCATAAAGCGGTACAAGAGCAATGGCTTCGCTCACAGCGCTGATTTGAGCAAGGCCGGCTGAGCATTGTTGAGCCTATGCTATGGTTGCAGAAACAGGAACTCTATGGACTTGTTGGCGCGCGACATTCAAGTTGTCACAGGAAGAAGTGCTGTCTTCTTTGAAGGAGTACGTGCTCCCTGGATTGAATAAACGTTTGGGTACAACATACGCAGATGGGAGTGACTTGGTAATTGTGGCACTACCACAACTACCCATGCAGGCTGTTTCAGGAGATGTCTTTGTCGCACCTTCGCCAGATCTGCAAGGAGAAGAACTTGGCCCTCAGGCTCCGACTATTCACATCGCAATGGAAAGGGCGTCGTGTGGCAAAGTTTCTTAATCTCCTAATATACCCTGACAGCCGAATCTTGCAACAAGAAATCACAAGACCCCAAGCCTTGCAGGGGCGAGCATCGGCGTGCAGAAATGCTCGGCTTGGTCACAGCCGCATCTTAAACTGCATTTTTTTGGGTAGACCGTGGACTGTCAGAGTCGGCATGCAAGACCTCCCCTAAGATACTTGGAACTGCTAGGCTGCACCCTTTGGGGACACTAGAAGCACCAGAAGAGGGACCCATGCTTGATTGATACCTCGCGGCTTATGATTAGTGATTTCCCAAAATGGGCCTCACTAGACTGTAGTCCTTATTGTGGGGACCCCCAACTCAGCGTCCATTAAATTCTCCGTTTTCTTTAGCATCATATTGTTACCCCCCCAAAATAGTCGCATCCGTTTCCATTTCCATTGTCCCTAAATAGTTGGTTCGGAATTATTTTTTCCTTATTATCAATATACTCCATTTAACAAGTATACCAAACCAAGGAGAGCTGGCAGCGATTCCAGATTCCAGTTCTGAAGATGCCTGAACGCATGTGAGTCAAGACTTTTGGGCCTTAGGCATGTGGGGTATGAAGATCAGATCTGGTCGTTTGTGCGTCCGTGTAATGATGAGTTTGCTTTGGGCATGATGGCATCTCCGAAATATCTTGTGAAGTTGAAGGGAAGGTTGAAAGCATGTCTATACCTATACTTTATTTTTTAAAAAAAATCGTAGTAGTATCCCGAAGACACCAGCCCAAACATGTTTCCCCTAGCATATTGAAATTCCAGCAAAAAAACACTTTGACATGGAATGCTCAACATGCTGGAGGATGCCAAGCCTGCTCGTGGCCCAAGGGTTGCTGGACCAGCTTCAGCGGTTCGAAAAGAAGGACCAACCAACACCTGCAGCAGAAGAATGATCATGATTGAGAAAAGACATAACCAGAGTTCTCCAGAACTGTAGACAGAAGAACATGTGTTGTTGGAAGCGAATGGTGCTTCAATGCTGGTTCCAAGTTCCAAATGGGCCGCACTATGTTGATGGATCAAGGTATGGAGCAAAGTTGTGGCATGGCTGAACTTTGACTCTTCACTGCAGATCCGACTATCCCCGTTTAGGCTGGCTACTCTTAACTCTACCCACCCAGTTTGCATTTAGTCCTTTGCAGGACATCCCGCAGCTGCGCCACGAGTGTCGAAAGCGGAATCTGCCAGCCGAGTCGTATCCGCGCAAGCAGGACTTGATCAATCGATTGCGCAACCACTTGGTGACGTGCCTTCACAGAGCTCGTAGCTGATGTGAAAGCTACAGCTGCCCTGCTTGCTCAGAAAACAGCTGCCGGATAAGCAAGTATGTTGTTCAAATGATGTTGCTTCGTTTTGCCCAGATAAGTCACGTCGGGCTGCTGCAGCGCATTGTGGGATGCATTGTCACTGCATGTGTACCGACTGCCTGACTACGTAGCCCTCCCGTCTTGGAAACGTGCCCAGGTTTGGGCCCAGATGACAGTGGCCGGCCTGAAGGAAGAGTGCGACGCTCGAGGAGTGAAGTGGCAACATGTGAAGGCTGCCCGGCATCCTTGGCTTTGAAGCAAGAGAAGCAAGCGCTGCTGCCTGCTCCTGCTAGCTGCCTGCTGCGTTGCGGCATTTGTCATACAAAGTCGCACTTGCAGCCACAAGGGTAACATCAATTTGCTGGTTGCTGTTGGGTCCAAGGAACCCTTTTGGACTGTACTGGTTGCATTGGCGTTGGACGTGCAATGTGTAAAGAGATACGACCTAACCAAGCAAGATCTTGAGCGCACAGGTGGCAGATGCTTCGTCTCACATGTTGAAGATGCTCCCTGGACTGCATGCAAAAGTTGCACATGAACAAGCACCAGAATACCTTTGTCGAGCAAGTTGTGTTGGACCCCCATGAAGTTTCATTGCTTAGGCATGCAGAAAGAGCGGAGAAGAAGGAGATGATCGAAGCTTTGCATGCCTGGATGGTTACAGAAATGCTGGAGTTGACCCTCAGCAGCCCACAGCAGCTTTTTGCTTGTGCAATTCCACTTGCTTCTTAGTGGTTCTAGAGCCACACAGAGACGGCTAAGGAAGGGGATTCCTGTCAAGACTGTTGGCCACGAGTGTGCACTCCGGATGCAGGAAGCATGCCTCTCACGCCGAACCCGGTATGATGCCCCAGCAAGAAAGGTCATGATATAATGTGCCAACTACTTCCTGATGCTCATCCCCTGCAGCTGCAGTCAGGCTCTGAGCATCTTCACAGAGGTCGAGCGCTACGAATCCATGCCATCATCGCTGCTGCAGGCATGAGGGATGAAGCGTGGAGTTGCCTTCCCCAGCCAAGCTTCAGAAGTTGCCCAGAAACCTCCAAAAAGAGGCTTGAAAAGCATTCCCGGCATGCTGACAAGATTCGCCAGCCTTTCTAAACAGCTTGAGCAAGTCGCATGATGGATCAGTGGCCAGTTTTCGGTCTACAGAGTCATGGGCTACTGCAACTATCAAATGTGCTGAGGCAGAATATGCCACCCTGGGCATGCCCAGTGAGCCACAGCTGGAGGACCCGTTTTGGGTGTGCTTAACAGCTCACATTCCATTTGTCTGGTCGAACCAAAGCGCATTTTTTACATACTGTCATGGACCTCGACGACTTGCAGTGCCTCTACCGGCAAAGAGCGCGCATGGATGAGTAAGCACTCCAAACCGAGCAGGCTCCGGGGAGTTGCGATGGGAGGTTGCAAGTGCAGGTGTAGAGTTTATTTGCATCCCTTGAATTTAGGCAGCCTGTAAGCCTTGCCGAATCTTGCGAGCTCAGCCTGGCGGCTCTCCCCAGCATGGTAGTGGAATCCTTTGTTCTATGGAGTTTGCACGCCATCCTTGTTGAGTCCTCTGGGCATAGAGCTTCTTGTTCTCGCACAGCATTCACCTCACTCAGGACAAGGAGCTGCTGCGACGCCTGAAGCAAGCGACCCGTCTTTAGCTTGGGCCAATTCCCCCACTACTTGCGTGACACCATGCACTCTTCATCTTCTGAATGTATGGACCCACAAGCCCTAAGATCATTAGAAGCCCTAGGCCCGAAGATCCATAAGAAGTCTAGATCCTGAATTTGGCTTGTATAGAAGAGGTGCTGATTTGGTCGCAGTTTTCCGCATCTTGGCTGCATGAGACAGCCAGCTCGCCGGTTTATTTGGACATCCTTGGCTTGCCGCAGTTTGGCAGATTATTTATCCCCATGAAAAGTGCACTATAATTAATTCGCTCTGAGCGAAGATCAGTGCACATAGCCAGGTGGATGACCTGGTGAAGGAGTGCGAGGCCAGGGAGCTCAGCACGGGTGGCTTCCCAAGCCGCCCCAGTGAAGCCGACAAGGTCCAAGCCTCCCGGCACCAGATATTGGACCCCAGGTTAGATACCTTTGCTGCTTCATGAAATGGCGTCCACCCAAAATGCAGCTGGTCCCCTGCTAGCCCTCACTCAACTTTGCCGTTTCGCACTTCCGCTGTAGCGTCCATTTGCTGATTCTGAAATTTTATCTTCAGCGAATATCGGGTTCGCTTTTTTATGCCGTGCACAAAAGACAGGTAGTGCTGCCCATTTGGCTATCAGGTTCTCATGGACCGCCTCATCCTCAGTCTCGGTGTGGATGGCTGGGAAAAGCAAGGCCTGCTTGCAACGCTTGATGCTAGGACGTAGTTTGTTTTTTCTCGAAGGTCTTCAATCCTTCAATTCATATTGGGGTTATATAGGGATAATGAAAATAAAAAGGAAACTACTATAGTATATTGGGGGTATATAGGGATAATGGAAAAGAAAATGGAAACTATTATATTATATAGGTATATATAAGGGTAATATTTGGCCTGAAAGCTGAGCTGCTCCAGGCATTCCCGTGTATCGACTGACGAGCCTGGAGGCTGCAATTGTCATCGTGGAGGATCCTTGCCTTGCTTACCCGCAGTAGCAACTACTGGAAGTAGTTTTGCTCGAACCCAGCATGGAATGGCTGATTGTGAAGACCATTCCTTTCAATGCCCGCATGTCATTCTGCAAAGATCTCAAAAAGTCGGTGAGTTTTCCCCAGTCATGTAGAAAATCTCGGCCTCGCAGGTCGCTGGCTAGCGTTGAAAGAAACATGAGACCTTGATTATGATGAATAGTTCGCAGGAGCTGGGTCGCTTGGAAGGCGCAAAGCAGGCAGACGTGAGCGCCGCGTTTCTGAGCTGCATACTTGCAATCATAGCGGAATTGTATCATGATTGCGACGGCCGTCATCATCATGGCAATAGTCATGGCTTGCACTATGGCGGCTGCAGTCGTGGAGCGATTTGACTGTACCAAGGTATCGCCTGCTCGGTCTCCCACATGAAGCCCTGGACAAAGCAGCAATGATCTCCCGACTGAAACACTATCTGGTGTGGCAAGAGCTGCGGACATCCAACTGCACGAAGTTCGCCTTGGCAGTATTAGCTTAGCCGAACATTTGCTGCAATGCATGCTGCTCCTCATTGCCTTCTCGTTGCTTTTGTTGCGATGACTCGCAGGGCAAAGGACTAGCTGACTAGCTTGTCAAACTACAGGTGTTGACACTGAAGGGTTGATCTTTCAAGACATTGCCTATGCTGTCCATGAGCTATGGCACATGCCGAGACGTCTGCTGAAGGCCGGCAGAGCTCCGCAAAGAATGTGTCAAGCACGGTCTTCCGGCCATGGGGGATCCCGAGGCAGGATGCTCATATACCTGTCTGCCAATTTTTTACGGCCTCTGATTTTGAGCTGGAGCAATTTCATCAGGAACTCATTGCGCAGCTGGTTCTTAAGACGCTAAGCTCAGAGTTCAGCATGCTTCAGTCAATGCACGAAGTGCTGCATGGGCTAAGGAATTGGGGCGTACTTCCAGAAGATTGGGATGCGCCAGACCCTCCAGACTGGTCACGATTCCAGCCACCTCCGCGCCAAAGCCGTGCCCTGCCCGCCAATAAGTAACCTCCCTGGGCAAAAGGCAGATTGAGAACGCAGACCCAGACTTCTGAGACCAAACAGGTCACCCAAGTGTTCCAGACGCAGGAAGAAGAATGAGTATCAATCATTAAAGATAAACACATGAAAAAAGCTAAAAGCACCTTGGATATGTGAATCCCATGCCAGCCACCCACTAAAAGCCGGGAGGGGTGTAAAAAAAAAGGATCAAAAAAGAAAATGAGGATCAACAAAAAAAACAAATAAGGTCACAAAAAACAAAATCCTTGATTTTATAGTAAAGCACAGTATTTCTGGCCTCCCGAGCAGGGATCAAAAAAAAACAAAATATTCGAGCCCCGGGCCGGAGGAGGAAAGGAAGAAAGAAAGAAATACAGAAAGAACACAGGAATAGATCAAGAAAGAAAACATAAAGAACACAAGAAATAAATGAAGACGAGGAAGGAAGGAAAAGAGAAAAAAAGAAGCAACGAAGGAAAGGAGGAAAGAAAGAAACAAAGAACGACAACACGACTTCTTGGCTTCCTGGCTTCGTACGTGGAGGCTTCTT